TGTCACTGATATGATTACTGAGATAATTGATAAAAAAAATCTCGATGAAGCAAATAGAAAATTAGCAATTTTTTCTTCTGTTTGGAAACGATTATCTTAATTTTCTTTTACTGTTTGTTTGAACTTTGACCATTATTGACTCTCATAACGCATCCTTCCAACTATAATCACTGGCACTTATCAATCGTGCTTTCGAAACTGATTACCATCTTCCTTTTAATGTAATTAAGCTTTGCTGGCTAATAAACGAATAATTTTTCGGTTCTTTTGCAACTTTTTTCTCTACTTGGAAATCTTTTAGATTGTATTTTTTATGGCTAAATGAGGCTAAATGTGGTTGCTATGGAAGTTTTGCATTTTTTGGTGATAGCGATTGGAGGTGAAAGAAAAATTTTTCCATTTTTTTTAATTTTAGAAATATAAATAATATATTTGAATAGCTTTTGGCATAGAGCTATGAGAGAAAAATTAATAATCTCTGATTAGTGATTACACGAATTTCGCAATTATTGAATGTTAGCGAGTTTCATAGTGAGAAGTTAATATCGTAATTTTGAAATCATATAGCCCTTTGACAGTCAGAATCATCAATAGCGTAAGAGATGTTAGCTTACTATTATCACAATGAATAAACTCCTTTAAACGCAAAAATTATATACATTATAATAAGATTCTGGAAACTTATTCGTGTACTTATTTATCGAAGCATTCATTTATTAAATTAACTGGCGATAAATTTTTCTTTTGTAGCTATGTTACATTTTTCTTTGAACAAGAAATCAACTAAATTCATCATACTGCAGAAATTTATGCTACTAATTTAATTGTTTAGTTCAAGTTCTTATTTTACTTTTAATTATTTTATGAATATTAAAGCTTTTAAAGAGTTTCCTTATGTAATTGATAAAATCATATTTACTACAATTGGTATTTTTGAAAATCTTCAAAATTCGTTTATTTTATAGCGGTTGTATTTTTATGGCTAATTTTATGCAAAAACTTGCGCATTCACAAATTAACAAGGAGCCTAAACAGCCTGGTTTTGGCCAAAGTATCATACGTTCATCGACGAAGTAACGTTTAAGATTTTCATCCAAACTCTTCAATCTAATTTCAACTTCACTTATATAATTTTTTAAGGTTATTCGATGAAAATAATTTACAAATTGGCAAAAAATTTTTTAACGAATATGAGGTAATTCCGCATTTTGCAATAAATTTTTTATCGTGCTAAATTTTGGATTTTAAATCATGCGTGAAATTGTTTTACAGTGCATGTAACATTTAGCATCTAATACATAGTAATACATTTAATACGTTTGTGTTTTATAAATTTACTGGATAGTTAGGAATATTTCATGAGGAATAATTGTTAGACATCGGTATTGAAATGATATTGACATCCATTGAAAATCCTATGCTTTGCAGAAGTCAGGCACAAAACATAATCCAGGCAGTTCTGGTACATATCCGAAAATAACAAAGTCTCTTAGCGCTTTGGGAATTTCTCTCGATACTTATCATAATTTTTTGAACGTATACCAAATACAGTTCAGTGATATAAAAGCAACAAATGTGTTTAATCAATTTAAATTGGTAGATACTCCTCTTTTACGCTTAATTATGAAAAATTACACTGTTAGTTAAAACAGCATATCCGCTAATAATGGCGTAACATATACTCAATATTCAAAATTCAAATTTTCTTTACCGATTTTTTATCATGGAGCTTTACTTTTGCATGATAATTTGTTGATTATATGTTATTAGCTAAGACTTGATGGATTTTTTTTCTATAAATTATAAATTGTAAGATATAGAATATTTATCAATGTTTATTGGTTAATAATTATTGTTTAGTAAAATATCCGATGATACTTATTAATAAGTGATATTTGTTTTTAGATTCGAGACGGCATTAATGATTTGCATTTAATTGATACAAGAGCGGAAAGTCACAGTAAGGAGAATATTTCATCAAAGGAAGAAATATCACCACCGACAGTTATGAAGGATAAACAAATGATATCGTTCGATCAACGACCCATTGATTGGGGTACTGATCCAGAAGTTATTTATGGATGGGGAAATATTTCTTCAGTAACAAAGGTTTTATTTACTTATTTATTCATTTGTTTATTTTTTTCATAACATTTGTCAAGTTTGATTTGAAATCTGAAAGATAATTTTGCTTTTATGTTTGCACATAATACATTTCAAATTTTTGCGACGTATTTTTTTGCACATTTCTTATCACAGATTAAATGTTTCTTTTTGTTTTATTAATAGTAATTATTGAACTATTTACTGGTAATTTGAAATTGTTTGTTTATTAGAATTAGCTTGCACATAACTTTCTACGTTTCAAATAGATTTTTCTTACACCACTAAGTATCGAAGTGATACAACGACTTACGGAACGAGCGGAAATGATGCTAATAGCAATTAATCCAATTTCGATAATACAACATGCCTATGCTTCATGCGCTTTCAAATGTCATAAGCAACCGATCGTCGAAAAAAGCAGCGTTTTTGTTCAGGGTAAATTAGATTTTATAGTAATTTTCAATTTGCTTTATCAAAATTTTACTTCTTTTAGCTTTAATTTTAATTTTGAATTTATTTCTAGTGTTTTGATAATATTCCATATCAGAAACTTTCTTATGATTACTAATAGCATATTTCAGAACCCTTATTACCCAAAATGAGTGCTCACTTTGGTTTACCACCTCTTCACATTACATTTTTCCAAGGTACTATTATTGACGGTAGGTTGCTAAAACGTGGTAACAATAGCGATAATTTTACCACAGCACATTGTACAGTTGCGATGATTTATGGACGTGAGTGCTATTTGAGTGTTTCCTCGAATAAGCAAAATGTTAGTAACTATAACAACGACTTTAGATTTGATTCTTCTTTATTCATTTTTGCAATTTTCAAAAAGAAAGAGTAAATTTAGACTAAAATAAGTAAGCGATTATATCGTACACATGAATTATGCTGACATTATCAATTAAAATGGATGTTAAAATTTGTTTCCTTTATCCTTTTTCTCTCCTTAAAAAGAAATAATTTTTCCCTTTTGTTCTTTGTTTTTAAAATTATTCAAAGAAGAAATATCAATTAACAAAAATTGAAAATATCAAAACGATGACATAGCAATTTAAGCAATTGCGGACTATTACGTAAAGATAGGACATGTAATGAATATGCAAATATCTGAAAATGTTGGTTGACACATGTTTGCTGTTAAATATAGAACATGCAAATGATATGTTTTGATGCACAAACGCTCTACCATGCGCAATTTGCGAAAATAATTTATATGAGAGAAAATAAGTCTTTAATCGACGATTGGCAAACAAATTTTTTAACAAATTGGCAGGAATTGGAAATATCAAAACGATTACGACATAGCAATTTAATCACTCTTAATGGTATAATATATTTTATCATCTTTCTACGTTAATTAGTGTTCATTTTTAATGACACACAAATAATATTTTTTAGAAATCTCCAAAAATTTGATAGTTCTTTCTTAAATCAAAATATTTTAGAATATTTAAGATAGACGGACGTCGGACGGATGATATAAATCTGATAAAAGCTAATGCAAAATATGAGCAGTTTTAAATAATCGTTAGCAACATATTAATGCATTTTGTAAGACATAACATAAGGGATACAATTATGATGAGCAGAAAATGCATCCAAAATGGGTTGATAATACAAATAATGATAGTGAATAATTTTAATGACAATGATATTATGGCAATTATTATTTCCATGACATAATTCCATATGAGTCTACTATAAATTTAAATGACAATATGCTCAAAATTGTTTGTAATTCAAATAAAACATAATGAATAATGCTAAATAATGATAGTGATATGAGATAATATTTATTGCTGTTAAGTCATGCTTTTTGACACTATCGATAAAGATGCATTTTATTATAAAAACTAAATCAAAAATTTTTTCAGAATCAAATTTTTATTTTCTATTTTTCTCCTCTCTCTTGCTCATTTAAAATTTTTATATTTCATTACAGAATTAAATGTACCAAATGTTTTGCTAAAAGGATTTATTAATCGTCGAAGTTTATCAAATTTGATTAACGGTAGTGAAATTATCATTCGTACTGACGAGCCACGCTTAAAGATTTCTTCTGGTAGTGAATATTGTGACAAACAAAGGTTTCAAGCTACTCATTTTGTTTTTCTTCATGACACTGAAATGATAAGAAATAATTAACAAATACATCGTGCGGGAATCGTGATATTTCGGCTTTGTATTATGCTATAATTATCTTGTGCTCAAGAAAGATATTTTTATATTTCCCATATTAATATATGCTTTATTTCGTCGCAGACGAAGTTAAATCATGGAATTAAATGAGAATTTTGATTGGCAAGCGATTCTTTGGTTGCTATTGTAAAATATTGTTTTTGATTAAATTGGAAATTTTTTCTTTCTATTTTAGCGATGCGACATTACTACAGTTAGCGCTAACGTCATCTCTAATATCTTGGCTTCATGTGCTATGTGAATTTCAAGAATCTATTCATCGTACATTAGTGAAATACGATGAATGGCTTCATTTATGCATGTGTAAAGCATTGAGTGAAGCGTTGGATTTACGTGATGATTTGGTTAAAATTCATATTTTAACGTTTTTTTTAGTTAACGTTATTTTAGTGTTGCTTATATTTAAATAAGTGTTAATCAGTTCTAGGAAAGTCGTACAAAGGACGAATTATCAGTCCAAGGCATATTTAAAAGCCCATTTTGAAATTTTAAAAAAATTTTTTCTTTTGTTTTTTGCATACTCATGGTTATTTTGTTTTCTAAACAGAGAGAATTGCTATATAATTTGTCTTTTATCTCAGATTTTAACGGTATGTCAAAGTTCATTGAATGAAGTGAAGCGACATGCAGACGTGATGAATGCATGTGCAAGCTGCAAACTAATGCTTTTCTTATTGCATTGCTCGATGCATAAGGATGAAATTGAGCGATATAATTATTGGAAGAATTATTCATTAGAATTAGGGTCTTTTATTGTATCAAAATCGGATCGGAAATTGGCCTTAGTTGCATTACTAAGTTCGTGGCAAGTATTACTTGAACCACATGTGAAGGTTAGTAAATGCATTAATAGCACGATTAATCGTGAAAGAATGAATTCTAAATCAATTTCAGCATTCATATAAATAAGGTGCATCCAGTAAATCTGTATAAAAATGATTATTAGGCAATAGCCATAACGGATAATATTCACTGAACAATTTTATACTGCATTGTGCTTTACCTTATGATGGCATGGTCTTATTAAATATTTTTGACCATAAAATTATAGCATTTAGATTTTACAGTTATTGCCAATTGTTTATGTAACTAACCCTCATTTATTTTTGATTTTAATTCTACTCCGGTTTAACTTACCGCAACTTGTAAATTATTCTTAAAAATTGGTAAGTAAAGCAGTCTTCCTTGTCTGGTTGTTTTTTACACTCCATAATTATGATTAGTCTATTTAGATTTCCGATGTGCTAACAGCTAAAAAGTATTCCCAAGGCTCATTACCGGAAAATATGAAATCGGTAACAGGAGCACATCTAACTAATGGTGAAGATGCAGAACGAACTGCAAGATCTGCTGTATCGTCATCCACTTTTGGTCCTAAAGGAAGTTTAGCTATTGCAGGTGGTATTAGAGTTGAAAAAAAATAAAACTCATTACAAATTTCAAAATTTATTTAATCTGACGAATAAGAAACATTAATCCTATCATTTTGTTTTCAAAAATATCATGCTACAAATAAGCTTATTGTAATTTTTCTAGGCACTGAAAATCTTGCAATGAAATGGCTCAATATTTCACCACTTGTATTTTTTTGGCCTTTATTTAAGGTATATTTAAAATTTATGACGATTTTTATTTAAGCAATTCGGAGAATATAGTATTCATATAGTATTATTATTCATATAGTAATGTGAATTTCTTATGCAATACTGTTCAACGATGATCATTATATAAACAGATCAAATAAGATCAAAATTTGTAAAATAAGCAGGAATGATATTCAATTATTCCAATTTATGATAATTCCTGGAATGATAACTCTGCAATGATAATTTTTCTCTTGAATTCTCTAATGTTGCCATTCATGTTTAACATTTCAAAATTTTTCGTTGCAATTTGAGTACATTTGAAGTATTATTTAATAAAACTGATTAACACATTAAAATATCCATGAGAAATGACAACAAACAATTTTGCAAAAGTTTTTTAGTGAAGTAATATTTGAATATGTTATAGTAAGCTCGACACCATCATTTTCTTTTTTTCTTGTTTTGTTTTAATCATTTGACTCGGAATAAATTTCGGATATTTTGCAGAAGTATCATTTAGATACTAGTACGCTATTTAAATTACCTCTTAAAAAGCTTCATTTTTCACTCAAATTTATGGTTGGAGAGTTTAAGGTTTGTAATTTAATCATTTCTTTCTTCTCTTTTTTGTTTGAATAAACATTTCCAGTGTGACGTTTGACAAAATCCAATTGGACAAGGTGGATACAATGAGAATAAATTTGAAAGAAAATAATGAATCTGCTATAGATAAAATGAAATTGAAGTTAAAAATTCAAATGAACATCAAAGAAATGCTTGTTTTAAATTCACTTCTCAAAAATCTAAGACTAACAAATCGAATAGCAAATTATTTCAGACATACTTAGTTCAGTCGGCAAAAAACAAAAATCAAACTGTTCAGCAGCAGTCGTTTTTATTTTTGCTTTTGGATACGATAACCTTTGATGCTGCAATCACTTATGATATGACGACGGATAATCAACAGCTAAATATAACAAAGTAAATATTTCCTAATTTTGTGAGAAAATTTTTTTTTGACCTAATTTATACTTAGCAGTTCATCTTAGTTTTCATAATTATTCATTAATTTTTGGTAATTTCATAAATTTATTATCTTGGAAAACAACATATATTAAGTATATATTAATGAAAAATGAAAGAGAAAAAATTAATTGAATAATTTAGACAATAATTCAGAATTATTTTAAAATAGCAATTTAGATGAGAATTTGAATTCAGTTCAATTAGCAAATAATTAAGATAATAGTTAATCTGAAATAATTTAATAAAAGTGAAAAAAATAAAGAATAAGCTGAAACTTTTACATAAGAAGTTGACAATGAAGTAAAAAAGATGAAGTAAAAGAGGTAAATGAAAGTAAATGAATTGAAAATTTTATATGGAATTTGTTTATCTTGTTCACATTTCGCACATGTTATCATAGGTTGTACAAGTTGCATACTGCTACTAAACACGTTTAAACAATTTTTTAAATCGTATTTTGCTGAATGATTTAATAAAATTTTCATAAATTTTGGCTCAGATATTTTAATTTGTAGTACAAATGGTATCAAAATTAAGTTGTGATTAAAGCATTATTACTAATATTAAATTCTACTTAAAATTAACAAAACACTACTAAATTCATCAATCAAGATGATCAATAACTAAGAATTAGCCAGCTTTATAAAGTTTGCCTGGTATTTCATCTGCTACGTTAAGAATGAATAAATATCCGGAAAACAATAACAGAAATATTTGATGCAACATTTTTCTACTCCCGACCAAATTTATGAATCTCTCCTTTCATTTCCGATTGTTTCAGGGCATTTCTGTCAATAAACTTGGGCACTCTATTCCCACGAATTGAAGTATTTTGCACACAAGCAGTATCGCATTTGCTAAATGAATTAATGCAAAGCATTTCATACTGTATGGCTAACACAGTAACCGTAACGTCAGCGATTCATTTGGAGGAAACACAGAATTCCGCTAGCAAAGTTAGCGAGTCGATCATCGCACAAAAATGGATTCAAACAACGCTAAATTTGTTTCGTGAATACAAAATGAATATGTTTGTTTTACTATGTTTGTTCCTTAAGTTTATCTTGGTCAAATTTTAATTAATTTGTCATAAAAGCTGATAATGATGTAAACTGGCATAGAAATTATCAATTTTATTTATAACTTTTTCTCAGACTTTTCGCATTTCTTAATTATTAATTTTATTCTTAAATAATTTGTCAATATTCTAATCGTTGTATTATGATAACATAAATATTTTCTCCAATTTGTCGTCATCTTGCTCTATTTATTTCTCTCCTTACCAGTTTTGATTTTTCAAAGTTTCAAACTTCAAGTTGATTAAAAAGTACTCAATCTAAATCTGCTCAGGAATCCGCTTCCAAAAATGAGTTATTCAAATGAGTTATTATTTTTCTGCATTTATCCGATATTTCAAAAATTGCAGATTTTTACAAGTTCTTGATCGTTTTCGTGACAATCTTTCCGCACGGTCAATCGTACTTTATTTCTTTGCTTCACAAATCATTGTTTTGCATTTCTTACGTTTTAAGATCGCATAGCGTATATTTATAAATTACAGTAAGAAATAACAAATTCATAAAAATAAGAACCATTATTTGTAATTTTGAAATATCGGATCATCATATTTGCAGGCATATGACTGAAGAACAGAAACGGGACATTGCAGAATTTTCGATTACTGTCAATAATAATATTGTCATCTCAGCAATCAAATTTGAAACAAAAATTATGCATCTTCTCTTAATGTTAAGAATTTTCAATAGCAAGGTATGGTTATCTAGAATTACTGAAGTAATCAAATAGTCTAGCAGCAGCGCTATGATCAGATCCTTCAGATTTCTTAACTTATTTTTAGCATAGCACAGTATTTCCTATGAATAATTGAATAATTTTTGTTATTATTCTTCAAAAGTGTACAACTTTTAAGTCTTTTTGTCAACAAATTTTTTTATTCACTTTATAATTAAAAAAGTTTATTAATCGGAAAAATAGTCGAAAATTAAAATAAACGAATGATTCAATTTGATGATTATTTGTTGCAGATAAGTCATAAAAGTATATACTTTGTGGATAATCCAAAAAAAGCAGCGCAAGAGGTTACATTTACAATTCAGGATATTAAAATGATGATGACGGAGAAGGAAACTCCTGATATAAATATTATATTTCATGGTTCACTTACTAAAACTATTAGTACTTTCCGAAGGTTTGCTCACATTTTATTTGATTAAAATTAGGTTAACCTAAATTTTTTTTTGTTCATCATAAAAATAAAAAAAATTTCTGAGAAAGATTGTAGACTTCAAATATAGTCGAAAATGATACTCATTGCATGAAATATGAACAAATTTTACAAGCATAACACTTTATAGATTTATGTGAATGCATATGCAAATTCAGTGATTGCTAGGAATATTGTTCAATAACTGATTTATTAAATTTTTCATGCATAAATCAGAAAAAACTAAATGCCTAGAATGTATGAAACGAACAATTTCCAAAATACTATTCGCTTGGCTGTGGAAAGTATGAAATTAAATTATGCCATTGGAAGTTCATTTGTGATAAAAGAAGAAGATGGAGGTGATAAAGAAGAGAATTCGTTTGTAGTAAGTTTAATTATAGTTCTAAATTAACATTATCAGTGCTTCTTCTATTTTGTGATATTACATAATGAATTCTTACTTAAAATAAGAATTAATGATTAAAATCTTGATAATAAGACGTATGTTTTCGCGCATTTGTGAAATTTTATTTTGATATTTCTAAATGTGAGATAAATAACTCAAATCAATTTTATATTAAAAAGGCAGAAAATATAACAATAAATTTTTCCAAAAATTTCATAGCAGATTGTTGTAGCTGCCAGATAGGCAAAATAAATTCATCACTAAGAGTAAAACTAACAAATTTTTTATACTCATTGTTTTCGCTCCCTGTTATTGGTTTCGGTTAGGTAATAAATTAATTGTGAAAGAGAGGAAAAATGATGAGATAACAGAAGACAGGTTGGGAATAATTTTGATAAGTAATAAATCAAGGCTTTGATTTAAACTTTGGATTTGAGCTTTAATTTTTTTTAAATTTGCTATTCGTTCTATAAGTTTCACACTCATCAGTTGTTTTTCGATACATTAATTCATGAAAATGTTTGGGATATCTCAAATTTATCTCAAAAACTGATTTAAATTCCTTAATACATATATATCTTTTATCAACAATATCATATATCATCTCTGTCAGTGGATGATAAATTTCTGTTGTAGCCCTTATTAGATGAACGTCAACGAACTAAAGAAAGTCAACAAATGGCTCAGTTTAACTTTGATATCGAAATATCCCACGGAGAAATGAATGCTAAAATTTCTTCATTTGTTACAGCAAAATATAATTTCAAAAATACGCATTGTTTTGGAATTTTGTAAGGAAATATTTTTGAATAATTCATTTACCTATCGAAATAATTGTTTTGTTCATATGTAGAGAATTTTTTAAATAAAATGCATGATGCCTGAAATCTGAAAGATAACTTTTGCGAATCATTAATTTCTCAGAGTTGAATTTTTTATTAGCCTTGTTTTATTGTTTTGATTAATTTATATATATATATATATATATAATGATAATCATTTAATCGTACATTGATTTTAAGTAAGTTTAAAAATTTATTTCAGTCCAAAAAAAGGTACAGCATCGATTGAAAATCATTTCATCACGTATACATCATTTTATTCGAAAAAAGTACCAAAATGGATGCGATTGGGAAGTTTTTTTATTAAACTACCATCACTATTAATCGTATATGAGAAGTGTATTGTAAATGAAAATGAAGTCATTCGAATAGGTAATAAAGAAATTGTATGCGTCAATGAATCGTATGCTAATATTGTTATCACTGTTGGTGAGTGAATTTTTTGATAAAGATATCGGTTTCAATAATGAATAAAAAAGGAAAACAAAGGATATGATAATTTCATTATGACAGAAATATTATTGTCTCCATATAGTTCCGAATTTCCTATTGAAAGTTTCTATTTGATAAAACATGAATTAGAAAATCTTAATAATGAATCATGATAATTTGATCGTTATTTGTTTGTTGTAGGTATCATTTAATATAATTAATTATCCAATAATATCATTAGGATAATAAATCAAATGTTATGTTTAAACTGCAATATTCATATAATATGAAGTTGAATATATCCCAATAATATATTGTCATATCTCGATCAACTAGTATTTGCTTTTTGTAGACATAATTTTATAATTTTGAATGTAAACCGTAACAGATTATTATGATTATTGTTGTAAATTAAACTTATCAAATCTATTTGATTAATATATGATCTGAAGAAGCAAAAAATGAATATGAATGGTATCAATAATTAAATCAAGTAATTGGACCATAATTCATTACTGTTATTAATATTCTGTGCTCAGTACAGTCAGTTTTTGTTCAGGAAGTTTGGATCAATCAATAAATACCGATATATTGAATATGCTATTGTATTCGCATGAAACAGCTATTGCTGAATTTGCACATGTTACGAAAATTATGTGTAAAAATTCATCCAATAAATCACCATTTCTTTTTCAATTACAGGTTAAATTACCTATTTATTCACCAATTCAGATATTAGACACTTTTCTTTATTTACTTAAACTTGACTATAAGGAAGAAAAGAAGACAATCATGAGATAGTAAAGATTAACGATAAATTAGTTTATCTGGAAGAAATCTTTTATTCTATAGGTGGATCACTTAGGTAATCCATCATCCTATTTCATTTCAATTAAACTCTGCAGATGGATTACTTAAAGAAATAAATGAATTTAATTTGTATGGAGTTATTTTATCTTTTGCGTACGTCTTCAAACGATAGTGTAAATTTTCATCTATCAGAAATGCTCAGACAAAAAAATAACTCCATAACTCCATGCAAAATAAATAATGAATTTTGCTAATCTCAGATATACTGCGAAAATGTTTCGCCATGGATGAAGTTGACATTAACCGATACAACCAATACGGCATTTCGTATTACAACAGAGATCGTCAATGTATTCTTTGTGGGACGAAATGTCCTGAACAACGATATTTTTGAGGTTTCATTTTCATTGCATATTTTTATATCTATCAGACATCAAGGTACTTCATTCAGCCAATCTTAAAAAATATTTGATAAAATTTATCATGGGAAAATTTAATATCATTATATTATTCGTCAATGTATTATCCTATATGATTTGATTTTTTAAAAAAATAATATTTACAGTACATTGCTATATTTCTAATATTTTTATTAATGTATACTATCTTTAATTGTTATTATAAAGTTTTTAATACGTTTAATTAACAAAAATTACAGAGACGAATACTGGGTAATATATCATTTTGTTTAAATTTCAAACTTGGACAAATGATACGGAATGAAGCATTCCAAGAAGATGAATTACGAGAGCTAGCTGATCTCACAACCAATGTTTGTTTTGTTACCTTATTTACTCATTTATTTATATTGTTTCGTTACCTTATTCACTACACTTATTTAATTTGTTGGTGGTTTTAATTTTTTCATCAGCATCATCTCCATGCTCCAACTATTTAGTAAATTAATTGTAATTTAACAACAATTCTAATAACCAAATTACAATATCAGTTTTCAAATTTCTAAATGGAAAATTTTAATTATTTACCAGAAATTGCGATAGTGGTAGCATTGCGTACCAGTTGCTACCATCATTTCTTCAGTAACTAACTAATTCATATGTTTGCGGTTGTCAAAAATTTAACTAAATAATTCTATTGTTCCGGGGATCATTCAACTAGTTGTATCAATTTGCTTTTTTCATCAACTGTCCCATTTTATAAATTTGATAAATATTATTTGATGTTCAGATATGACTCACTTAAGTACTATTGATAATAATAGTTCATATAGGAATAAGTAAATAATAAATAGTAATAAGGAATAATTCTTCTTATTTAGAAAAAAAATTATTTAATAATTCAAATAAATTCTTCGTCTTGTATTGAATGAAAAATACGCCTTGAAATGCGCTTCTGTAATTTATAATTGACATAGTGGAGAATTTTATTTTGAAATTGTGATCTCGAATGACTTTTTTTAATTTATTAGGTATAGTAAAGAAAATGTTAGTGTTAGAGATATTTTTTATCGGAATCTCTTGTATTGACATATGAAAAGCCCATAAATATAGCAAAAGAAGGATTGACGAATATTTTAAAAATTTAAAAAATAAGATAGACGAAATATTAACATTAATTTCTTTTCAGTTAATATGTACACTTCAATTCAGTCCCACAAGCGTTTCTGATGCTACAGTCATTTTTTCCCGTACCGTATTTTTACTCAAATTTTCGGCAATTATCAGAGTATGTAATTAGTTATAAAATTTCTTTATTGATTGTAATACAATAGAGTTGGCTTATCTATAGGAGGGAGGTAAATACAGTTGTTTTATTCCATTATCAATTGAAAATTGATTTGCATGAATATAAGCTGCTGTACTCTGATTTTTTTTACAATTTTCTCATTATTTGAAAACTTACTAATCTTATCATTCCTTCCAGTTGAAATTTCGAATTTGCAGTTCCTATAAATTCTCTTTTGTTTCCTTTTATTATAACCTTTTGTTTCTAGGTGAAAGATATTCTACGAGATTTCACTTTATCACGAAGTTATTGGATGAAACAAAAAATGTTCCATGCGACGCAAGCAGGAAGCGACTCGTCGGGGATGACATCTCAGAGTTCACTTTTGGTACTATTTTATAGTATTTAATCGGTCCAAAAATAAGAATTTAGAAAATTGATCGTATTCTGATAACAAGCATCTACTTAGAACAATTCATTGTATTTAAGAACATTTGTAAAATTCTGAAATGCTATGAATAACCTTTTTAGAGAGCTCAAATCGAAGATGCAACCTGAGTCAATTCACATAGGATACTAAAAAAAATTAATATCATTTAGAGAAATTCCGAAATCTTAGCTAATTTTAGATTATAGATTCAAATTCGTTTCAATTTTATAGGAATCGTCAAATAATATTTCACTCTATATTTCAGGATGTAACATATGGAATGGCAATGAAGATAACACTGCTGTTTCGTGATCGTACCACAGCATGTATGCCACTTTATAGTAATAACCGTCGGTCATACACATCTGCCCTCTTATTTGGTCTAAAAGATGCTGAAGCAATGGTTAAATTCGCGCGAAGAGTTAAAGTTGAAGCTAAATTTAGCGATTTTAAAATTGTTTTTGTGGAAAATTTTGAATATGTTAGTCATAATACTACTTCCAATTATTATGGATAATTGATGAATTTTTTAAATGAACTGCTTGAAATCATCTTATACCTAGTAACAGTTGCATTGACCTATTTGATTATCAATCAAAATTATCTGGAGGAGAATAGGAAAAAAAGCCTGTGTAATGCCAAGATCCTTGCAACAGCCATCATTGTATTTCAGTCAATGGAAGAATCCTGGATTAATGGCCAAGAAGTTACACCGACAAATTTTGCATTCTGTCCGCGTGGATTTTGTAAAATTGTTGTGAAATCTTCAAAATCGGAACATAAGCGAGTAGCGTCTATACATTGCTCAATGAAAGGCCTTATCTTTGATATTGATAGTGTAAGTCAGTTCAAGGAGATAAGAGCGTTTTATCTGAAATTCTCATTCTCATTCATCAATTTAGTCTGAGATATCCCATTTACGTTAATCAATGAATGTTTGCTGGGATAACATAAAGTTTGAAATAGCCAGAAATGAAACTATTTTATAAAATGTAATTCAACCGATTGTTAACTTACTTATTTGATATTGCAATTACAAAAACAATTGTAATTATTAATATAATTAAAATTTTTTCATTTTATCAAATTTTTATAATTTCATTAGTATTTTTCATGAAATAATTTGAAAAATGATGATAAATGTCTCAATATTTTACAGCGTATTGGAAGTTTGATTGGAGCAATATGGAATACATGCGCAGCAATTAGTGAAGATCAAGATGTTGACGCTAGTGAATATGAGCCGATGAAAATTGTGATAAGCGAATTGGAAAGGGATGATGACATTAATCAGAGAAATGAATATGCATCGATTGTGAAACCGGAAAAGCGAATTCGTTGGGTTGAACAAAAGGTTATAAACACCACTATTTAGTAATCTGTTCTTTGCAATAAATAACTGGAAAACTTGAAAATAAATCTAAAAAACGAAGAAAAAAAACTAAATTTTTGATGCAATATCATTTTACAATTATATAAAATCTGGCTTTTAATTTAAAAGAAAAAAATAACTACTGAAATTATTGGTTTGTTTTGTTTTTATTATAAAAATCAAATTAAATGATTTTTATAATTAGAAATATCTTACGTTGCTTTCAGAGAAGGAATGATTCCATCAAGTAATTTTGATTAACTTTTTAGTATTGATAAAATAAATTATTATTTTTAAATAAAACGGAAGAAAAAAACAAATAAAATAAGTTAAATAAAATAGAAAAGCAAAAAACAAAATGAAAAAATTAAAATGAAACTATTAGAATGCGAAGATATCTCATTAATGGAATTCTTTAGATATATGAGCAAACACAGAAATTGGCTGCGACAAAGGATCGCACAACGGATGTCGCATATCAATGGGAGTTACGGCGCTTGAAAAAACTTCAACTAATTCGAGTGAAACAATTCAAAGAATCAATGCTTGGTCGTTTAAAAAGGCAGAAATTACGAGAGAAACAACTAAAAAAGGCAATAACTACAGAGATATTTTTAAACAGTTAAATTTAATTTAAATATATATTTGTTCAAAAATATTCCTTAAATATATTTTGCTTGATAATCAATTAAATATAGAAAAAGCTATATTATTGAAATGACTGTTATTGTATTGGGCTGATCTATCTAAACTATTTCTTCTACTAATTTAAGCTCGTTTTCACAAATTAATAAGATTGAAAGTTGAATTTTTCTGATTTCAAAATCGGTAAAATTGAATAGTACATAAGTACTGAGAGTACAGCAACGTCTTGTTCTACTTTATTGGATTAGTGTATGACTAAACTAAAATGAATTGCGAATATTTGCAGATCAAAACAAAAGATGAAGGAGATGATGAAGAAAAATCGAGCAGTGAATCAGTTACAGGTGAGCAATCTGTAAAACTCTTTCGACAAACCACGTGGAATGGTCAGTTGAAAGAAAATATTAGCAATACATTATTAGGACAGGATGAGATTCCGGCAAAGATAAATGATAATATGATGGAAAATAATGGATCATTCGTATTTGATATGCAGGTATTAATTAATTAAATTACTAAATTGTTCTCATTTTATTTTGGCACTGTTCTTATTCTCCATACTTTCTTCATTTCATGAAATGATTTTTTCATTCTAATTATATTAATATATTAATATATATTATTATTGCGTTAAAATATTATTGTAAGTACTCATTAATAAATGAAATCGTTTAATTGTTATAAATGAAAATTTTTGCTGTATAATGAATTCATTTTTTCCCAGAATTTATCAAAATAATTAAAAATTTTGGAATTTTTGCAGTTTTTTGGTGAAGCCGGCGAATGTATGCTACGAAATAGAATTTCAAAGGAGTTGAAAAGTACGAGAGGTACAGTTCCAGATGATATTGGTAGGCATGATGAGGCGGGTGCAGGATTCACAAAAATTTCATTGCCAAGGTTAATTCATATGTCTGTTCCTCCTATAATATTTGCAGAATGCCGTTCTATCTGAAGGAATCATCAGAAAATGTAATGCACGATGCTTATCATGGTGTATTTTTCTCACTATAGCATTGGGACCTTTATAGTTATTGTAGGTCATTAGGACATTCGTAGTTACTATAAGCTTTTGCTATACTTTGTTCAATACAAGTTTAAGATTTGTTCTCTACAATATGCTTAACCTTTCTCAGAAACCATTGAATTCATTTTCTAATATTTCGCAGTTTGTCACTATATCAGCAAGGTCAGCAAAGCGATTAAATACAATTGCTGAATGAGAATGATTTTTTTCTCTTTCAAATTTGTTCGTTACAGTATCGAAGCAAAAATATATTATTCAACCACTAATATAGCGAACTATATTGAGTCTTTTCTTATGTAAGTTATATCTATAATTACTCAGATATTAGATTTCAATATTCGTCAATAATAATGATAAAATAGTTTTGTTCTTAATGGAGGTATTTCTTTAATTAAAATTTAAATTGTGAAAATTTTTTATTGCAGCTTTATTGTATTTAGGAAAAAATCAGCCACTGCAATGACATTAAATAATACATCCATACCATATTTGTATATATCAGCAAATGTCGCCAATATGCCTGAGGAAACGGCTCTTACACCACTTGTTGCTGATTTCTTCCAACAATTGCTAGAAAATTTACCTCAACATATCCATCAGCCGGTATCGTTATTAAATATTTATGAACTTATCATCTAGTTTGATAATTATTCGGATATTATACTAAGCTATGAAGCTTAGGAATTTTTAATCAATATATAGATTCTAATATCTATCAACTATACATTTTAATAACATCCTTTAATGGACTTAATTATCAGTTACGTAGAGATATAAAATAGGAAATAATTTGTTTTATTTTGATAATTTCAGTCGGAAAACAAAAGTGAAATATTTAATCTATCTGAAACGGAACCTTTGTTAATATGGATTCATTCTAAATTAATGATTAATATCTTACTATCAATAACCATTCAGTCTAGCTCACTTCGTTTTGAAGCTAATCAACAGGTTTGTTTTTATTCTTACAGTAAGTTATTGTTTAATATAGTTACTCTCTTATATAGTTGCAATCTCATTTCAATGAGCTTTTTCATTCTTTCTAGTCTTTCTTTTTGATTGAATTAATGAAAAGGGAAACCAACCGGAAACCTTTTTCCGTTAGAATGGTTGAAAATTCACAAAATTTTATTCGGAAAAGAAATATATTTAAAATTATATTTGGTAGTAACGTATCGTTAAAATGTAAATCAATTTGTAAATTAAGCTACACAAAAATAAAACGTAATATCACATATTTTTATATTTTGATAATTTTCAAACGTTTTAACAATAGCAAATATTTCGATAATTTTAGCAAAAAAATATGAGTAATTCGTAAATTTATTTACTGATTGTTTCAGAGGGCAGGTGCAATGGATCTTTTATTACGGTTACCATCATTAAAACTTGTTGCATCAGCTTATAACGATAGTGTCAACAATGCTTTAAATGTTTCATTAAGCTTACGATCATTTTCCGTTTGCTTCTATAATCCACATCAGGTTTTAATTATTCATTTTTCTAAATTTCAGCCGAATCAAATTATTGACGTTGTTTTGATGAGAGAATTCGCCAGTCTTTATAAATTCATTATAACAACTTTAAAATCATTATGTTAAGATCTATGATATTAAGGCCAATTAATTTTGAAATTTTGTAAAATATTACTTTTTTTTAACAAACAAATTATTTATGCAGAAATGTTTAGCAATATTATTTTTGTTTTTATGTAGCCCTCTCCACTGGATGCATTTGCGCTTACATTAGATAAGTTCACCGTTGGTATTTCACATACGAACGTATTTTTGCATGATAATTTACATTTGAAGGTTTGTCTTGCGGTTTTATTTACATAATAAAATTTCATATTAACAAGTTCTATTTGTTGCATTTTATGATTTATGGAAATGATCTGTTCTTAGCTAAAAGTAGAAGCATTGAATGCATTTGCAGGTTATTTGCACAATCGATATTGGTCAAACAACTTTTACATATGATATGCGAAAACTTTCTCAACTAATCGCCTTCCCAGCTCCGTGGTGTCGCAGAAGGATTGCACAACGTCTTCTAATCAAGCCTGATCAATTTTCAAAAAACCGAAATGTCGGAGCTTATCGATTATTGTATGCTGTTACAATTAAATGGTTCAATTCGATTTAGGAGATAAATTGTTTTGTGATTGTAAATTTCAAACTAACTAATACTTATCATATATCATCAATGCCCATTTGTTTTTCTTTACATTCGAATTTCTCAGACCTATTAATCAGTATGATCTATTATATAAAAATTGTCAATTTCGAAATTTAATTACAGCTCAAAACAAACGAGAAAATTTATAAATGAATTAGCGGTTGAAGCATCAATTAGTATTTATTGGGAAGCTTTCAAGGCAAAAATGCAAATGTCCAGTGCAATGGGTGATACAAATTGGACTGCTAATAAAATTTCTGCAAAAACTATATTTTGCGTTAGTTTATTGATAATATAACCGTTATCGATTTGTTCGACGAATAATAATTAAAAAGCAATATATTATCAGCAGAGAAATATTTTTCATTTCTTTTGAGTAACACTATTGATAAATATTATCAATTTATCAATTTGTTCTTTTATTCCTACTTTAAATATAAATCAATCAAATTAAAAATGAAGATCTTATTGCAAATTTCTGAAAATGAAACTAATTTGCTTCGAATCATAGAGCAATTCCTATTTGTGATATTTATATTTTTTAATTCTGTCATATCCAGAAGAAATGATAAATATTCCGAATTAATTTCTATTCTTTTTTCCTCATATAGCTTCAACCATTGGTTGAACGACATTTCAATGTATGCTTTGCGGTGTCATTTCTAGAACAGGAAGCAAGAGGTGGTGCCATTTCTGGATCATTACGATTATCTAATATTGCATTCGATTTGAGCTGGATATCACTTTGCAGTGTTCGTTTTCATTTCATCGCTTCCTATAATATTTCAATTTCGTCAAATAGCGAAATAGTTTGAAAGAAGTGAAATTTACTGAGCAATCGTTATTTTTTCTTCAGAAACCTACGTCGTTTTCATCGAAGATAAATTTTACACAATTGGAAACACGAATTGTCTGGATGGGCCGTGTGATTGTTGTTATATTATGCGATGAACCATCTCTTCTACTTAGTGATGAATGGAAATTACATAACGATGAAAATGGAAAGGTATGAGAAGGAATGAGTTATGAGATCCTAAAAACTGAACTATGCAAATTCTGCAAAAATGTTCTCCAAATTTCAAATTTAATAAGAAGGATCAACGGATGTAGCTATGTTTTCTTTTCTTCAAGTTTTGAAATATTAAAATTCGATTTAAGCACCCAATCAAAAGAAAAATTTTGATATTAAATTCAGAAATTTTATAGTAATCATAACTTGTTTGGATTATTTGCAGATAAAAGAAGCAGTGGTAATGCTTAATACAACTTTGAAATATTCTAAACTACAAACTGTTATCACTAAGGCTTCAATGAACAGCATTGATAATATCATCCAAAAACTCGGCATCTTTTTTAAGGTATCCATTTTTTTCCTTAAAAAGAACTGCGGGACCTGATATACTGATGTACTCGAAATAAGGATCTGTAATTCATTCAAAGTTAAGAGAAAATAAAGAGAAAAGGATGAGAATAAGAAACGCAGTTAGAAGCAATATAATGTTTTCTTTTGTTGTAAATGCAGTAAGTTTTATTTTTAATTTTTCTTCAAGTTTATACTTCAATATTGAGATGTACAAATACTAAAAAAAGAAGGCCTTAGGGAGGTTCTAATTGAAGAAAAAATTTGACAATAAAAATATGAGGAAATAAGTGAAGGATATAATTGAAAATAAAACTTAATAATAAAAAGAAAATGAAATGAATTTTAGGAACAGATGGAAGAAAGTCGCAGTTTGCTTAATCTAACAAATAGAGCAGTATCACCAGTAATGAAAAGTGATGAAAAATTATCAGAAATATTTCACTGGGCAATAATTCTTGATTTGGTCACTGATATACAAATGAAAAGCAAGACATTCCCGATACCTAATGCTAACAATGGAAAGACAGTTATTAATGGACGATTTATTTCTGTTGGGCAGCAAGCTTCGTTAGTTCTAATGGAAGGTGAAATTACGGCAAATCGGTTCGTAATTTATGACATATGAATTATTGATTGATTGTGATTTAGTACATTTTATAAAATTAAAAACTTTTCAACTTATATTTTATTCTGATCAAGAAAAAGTCTAAGAAAAAAAGAATTAAAAGTTATTTTCCAAAACAAAAATCTAAATTACGACTAACTTCAATAAAAATATTAGTGAAATTGAGTAAAATGAAATTAAAAAAAACAAAAATTTCAATTAAATTTAATACTTAAATAAATTTACAAAAATTACTATTTGAAGAACCATTCGTTCATTGCCAGTACATTCAATATATAGTTAGTTATAAGCGAATGCTAAAGGATTTTAAATGTCAGTTTCTCTAGTTTAAGCTTTATATCGATGTTATTATACATTATACTGATATACATGTAGACTTAATTTGAATTTCCATTATTATTTAAGAAAAAAAAAGAAAATTTCTTCAAAATCCTCAAAGTAAACCGCTAAAATAAACACTCATACCTTGTACTTCTTCAAAGTTAATCGATGTTTTAAATAGACCAGAAGTTATCACAAATTTCTCTTCCAATTCCCATGTTTCATTTAGCTGGGCACTTTTTTACCTCAATCAGCCAACACTGATTTTCTCAAATGCTGCACAGTATGCATTTATTGATGAAAAACAAACTATCGGCATCGATTTGTCGGAAAAATTACTACTCAAATTAAGCGGTGTAACAAATGATAATAAACAACATAATAATTGGACAAGTGCTATTTGTAAAGTAGAAGTATGATTTTTCATTTTTTTCAAATATAAGAAATTAAAATTTAATGAAAAAAGAAATATTTATCAAAGTTATAAAAATTAATCATATTTCTGAATAATTTTGCTTCTTTGCAATTAATTACTTGTTTCGAGGAAAATTAATCTTTATAATATTATGTTAAACACAGTTATCATAGCATTGCGCAATTGTACGTAACATATCTCATTCAACGTATCTATTCTTTTTTAGCGTCATAAAGATCAAATTTTGCTTAAGTATACAACAGTTCAAGAATGCCTAGCATTATGCATCGATGAACCATTAGCGCAACTTTTCTCATTAAATCGCCACTCAAACAAACCTCAGCCAACAGTACTTGAACTGTTTGAGTAATTTTTTCTTTCTCTTCCTTATCTAATTCTAAGATCGAGAAGTTTTGAAATCATTTCATTGATTCGTGGCAAAGTTAGGTCTTAATATCACTTCTATTTTCGACGTACATCAAAAATTACCTCAATTTCATCACGTGAATATATATTATCATCATCATTAAGATAAGTAAAAGTAATACCGCCATTGGTCATTTTTTTTTAGACTGCCCGCAATGGATCTTATTTTTACGAGCAATCAAAAGGCACCAATTCATTCAGAAAAATTGCGAGACGTTAAATCTGAAGTTTGTTTTCTTTCATTTCAAAATATTCAATAGCGATAGAGGTCAGATTTAAATTTATGGAATGATTCCTCAGGATTGTGTGCTCATCATTCGATGTTTCTTCAAGCTGTCTCACTTGTTTGGAGAGTAAATACATATGTACCAAAAATACCGGAACTTTATTATTTGTCAGATGAAACTTCAAAAAAAGCATGTGATAAGGAGTATTATCGATAAGCAAAACTTTTATTTTCGATTTTCATCTTCATTATCTTTCCTTTTTCCTTCACTTCCTTTTCAACAAATATATTATTGGAAATGTTCAAGTTTACATAATCTAGTGTAAGGATATCTATGTTTTGTTCAGGTTCTGTGCAGTGTCATATGTGACTTCCATCATCCGCTTGGTGTCCAAACTGATCTTACAACACAAATCAATTTTCTTCCTGAATTACTTCGTTCCTATCTTATTGAACAGGTCTTTATTACATTCATTAAGAATTTTTAATTGCTATAATTTTTGCTCTCTCAAAGCTATCATACAAATATGCACACTACATACATACTTGAAGATAACCGAAAAAACCGGAAATTCTGCGAAGCTCAAGATTAACAGTTAACATCCATCTAAATAATTTAGGATAAAGAAGTTGAAAAGGAAGTGAAATCACTCATGGAGAGGGAAGCAGAAAGAGGCGAAACTGGGAAAACTGATCAACGACAATATATTTGCAAGAAATGGAAAGTGGATCCAAAAATACGATTCATCGATAAGGTGAAGTGGGATCCGCCAGTTATTGATGAGATTCTGCGCAAACTACAAGTAAGCCTTGGAAGTTCTTGGGATAGCTTAAAATAAGTGTATCAAATAATCCTGTATTGGACATAGACTTGTTATTTAAAATAACGGATCATTTAATTCAATCTTTTTGAAAAATAATAGCTACGTAAGATGGGACAAAGAAATTCAAAATGTTCAATACAATTATATCAAACACTGGAATGCATTCGAAGCCTCTTAATATAGATATTTTATTGAGTAGCGATTAAAGTGAAAATTTTCCATACTATTCATCGTAATGGATGTTGCAATATTTATATTATGGATCCTCTTCTGTCTTAAAGTTAAAATTTTTCAACCATATCAAGAGGTCGAGCAGCGAAGGAATAAATGACCCAATATTTAAATGATTGGTGATCATAATTCGTGTCAACTTGATGAGAACAGGAGGGACAAATAGATATCATAAAGTGAAGGGATAATGAGGAATGGTATTAGGAAAAGACCAACCAGATCAGAAATGGCGATAAAAATTGTTCACATTTAAGATATTCGATCATCGAAATACTATACCCAAAATTGTGCAGAGGTATATACTGGATCACTGCGACATGTTTGCATCAAAAGCTCTTTTCCCTATCGTGAAAGTTGTGAAAGAAATTTCAACAAAAAGCGATCGAATGTCCGGTAATTTCTAACGCAAAGGAGTGCAGGAGTAAGAAGATATGATCAATATTTATTTTTAATTTTAGTTTTTTTTGATAAACGTAAAAAAATGAAGCAATAATGGAACATAAAAAACTTGATAAAAATCTAGTAAATTCTATACAGGTTTTCGAATAAACATTTCAAAGAGGTATGTGAAAGAAGGTAAGATGTTAAGGTACGGAAGCATATATCTCGGAAATTTCAACTAAACAAGATTGGTACTGTACTCGCTGACAATAACCGGCGATCCATATAATCACATTCTCCCTAAGCTTAATCTTTTAAAAAAAACGATTTCTAGAAGGTGGCACCTCAAGTTTTAGAAGAACTAAGGATGGGTCGTTCTTGAAACTTTGCTGCATCAAAAAAAGGGCATATATTTGGAGTTTTAGTGATTTTGTTGAGACCAAGCGCATAGAACGGCGATAGATAAACTTATCAAAAAATGACATTACTAACTAAAAACTATCAAAATTTCGTATTAATGAGCTCAGTGACAGCAAAATAAAGCCTTTTTTTCATGTGAGACGAATAGATTAAATTCTATTTGCCTTATCTGACATTCCTATATTCACAGTTGCAGTCAAAACTACATATAATCTGTAAACAACATTTACTAAATCTTTTGGTAGTAAAATTTTGTAAATTTCCGAAATTACATCGCTGAAATAAATGCATGCACAAAAAGAAATATTTCACTCATTGCAAGAATGTTGACAAAGGTTTTTCTGTCATCCAGTTTTCCTCCACTAATCGTCGATCAAGTGTTTCATGTAGTTGGCGCACAGCTTTTAAGCCAATATTGATCATTTCTTCTAAAACTGTACAAAGTGTAAACGCATGGAGATCAATAGCTTTATTTGCACACAAATGCTATAGTCCATCATTTTCTCGGAACTTTCCTCCACCTTCGAAAATTGAAATTAAAAAGGAATGAAGTTCAGAATAAATTGAACTATGATAGCTGAACTTGAAACGCGTCATAAATTACAAACGAATATATTGTAAACATATGCTGAATCCTCCCAGCTACGGGAAATGCCTTTAATTTTGTGACAGCGGCTTGAAAAAAATTTTTAAAAATTATCACATAGAGAAAGAAATATCCTGTAATAACTTACGTAAAATTTCTGTAGAAAAATGCTACAACTGCTTCTCCATGTAGATGTGTTTAAAAAAAAGTACTAACCAAGTGAATCCATTTCAAGGGTGCCACCACCACATTGCTTCATGAATGTAATTATGCAACCATCACGTTTTGTAGCAGATTGATTATTTTCCTGGAAAAAGTTCATTAACATTCTCACATCTTTTTTTACCTCTAGCTTCTTCAACCATTTCTTTCTGTAATGCAAGACACCGAAGGGAAGACCCACACACACCTGATTATTTTGCACACAGGAAAAATGTTGAAATTAAATATACACTATGATCGGTGTCGCAAACAAATTTTGGAGCAACGGCGATCCAAACGGATGTGCGAGTGCATGCTTCTTCTGCCAATGAATTGTCAACAATTTTTGCGCTTCCAAGCCTATTTACACTGACAAACAAAGGAACTCTGCAAGAAATAATAAAACTCTACAAATCAAGATATGACTGGGAAATAATGTGACTACATAAGTTGCTTTAGAATATCATCCAGTAGAATTAAGCACCGTTCCGGTGATAGATGAAGAATGGAAAAGGGAAGAAATAAAACTGAGTCATCCTACCAACTCCATTCCTTGAATCTGAATTTAAAAGTGTTTGTCGTAAGGTGTAACAACCTATGAGAGAAACTTCAACATAAATGAACATCATCAAAAACAACTCATTTAAACGAAGTATGGTGATAGTTCCATAATCTACTTTATTGATATGGACAAATTCATTCTCACTTTAATTTGAGAAAAAAGAAGCCTGGTAAGTTTGCATGTCATACCTTGATATATCTAATTTCCAAATAGTATTGTCATCCGGCAAATCAATTGTATACTTTCCTTCATCAGCTGGTCTGACTATAACTTGACAAATTTCCGTATCTTTCAATGCTGCCTTGACCTGATATTATTAATGTATAATGAAAAAGTAAGTGAAAATAAAAATGGTCCTCCAACTTCCCAACTTCCAATCCCATCAATACCTCGTTTGAAAAAGGAAAAAAAACTCCACCAACCCCTAAACCTGCTGCATCGATGACATTACCGTCACACTGCAAAAGAACGATATCCACAAACAGTTTCCATGCATGCATCGGAGATAGAATCAACCTATGAAAATACATCTTAAAATGTGAGAAAGAAATCCAACATTTTATGAAAGCTACATTCGAATTGCATGCCATCATTCATCATCTACATTATTAATATTACTTTTTCAAATCTGGAAGTACATAATTGTTGTTATAAGCAGCATCCAATGCTGCACTCAATTCATCTGCGAATTCCTCACCACCACGACCTGAAATTATCATAAGTTTCGCCAATCATTTATCAAAATTTCGTATTAATGGAGCTCAGTGACAGCAAAATAAAGCCTTTTTTTCATGTGAGACGAAAGGATTGATCACCGAATACCACAGATCTCGCATTTGGCACTAAAATTGATATACTTCCAAACTTTTCAATTTCGTAATAATACAAATGAAATGAAAATTTCTTGCTCTAAAATCTTTCGATTATAAAAAATCATCTTAAAACTTAAAGTATAAAAAGCCTTAAATCTAAACACAGATTATCCTCATAAATTTTTTATATCAAAACGCTGTATTAAAACACCTAATAATACTGTTGCACAATATTATTGGGTGTTTTAATATAGCGCTAGTTCGATTTATTATAAGGAATACACAAACTCAAGTATTACACCTTATCGAGGATATAGCTGAAGGACATTAGGAAGAACGATATATTCATGAGTAGGAGTTTCTCGTTAACTTGTTTCAAGTTCCTATTCCGCCCGTATTTGGATATATTTGCACTATCCCAGAAACAAAGCTGCATCTCAACCAAGACATTAATGTCTAAGTCTGATATTGGAAGGCAAATTTTTTCTACATACCAGCAAATAGTGGAGTGGCATTTGCTGAGCAATCAACAAAAAAATTTAGCCGATTGCGATAAAGAGCAAGATTTTCCACATTGATTAGCTCGGCTTTAACACCAATTAATAAATCAGTTGAGCCTATCCGAACACGTGATGAACCATTTGTCGTTGCCAAAACACCAGTTTGAACAATTACAGGTCGGTAATCGAACGGGCTATAATAAAAATAGCACTGATTGCGAAAAATTAAAAGAAAAAATGTCCCTTATTGTTATGCGGAAAGTTGCAGTGAGAGCTTACCGAGAATTTTCCACAATTATATTGAGCGAAAGACGAAATTACGAATAACTGGTTTATTCTAAGATAAAAGATATTAGGAATGAAGGATCACCGGGAAACCAATTGAAAAAATGTGCTGTGAAACAATAATTTTATCCAAAACAATTCGAGACCAACTATAGTATACTTACCTACGTCCATCAGCTCGTAAACCTTCTTGTGCCCCATGTATTATAAATACTTTTTCAGCTTCGCTTAACTGAACTTCCATTTTCTAAATTAATTTCGAATATATGCAGAAATTTAAAAGCGAATGCACGAACTGCTTTGTAAAAGTCTATGTAAGACTATAAAAACAAATTTTGAAATTGGCATCACATACAGTGATTTTTTATGGTCCAGATAGACTATGAGAATAAGAGTTCGTAAAATGTTACGATCTGCTTCGCAGAAGTACCATCATCCACCAGCATATAAGTACCATGCTCGCACGGTGCAATTACCATAATCTGATACAGAACCACGTGGACACCGTGTAAGCACCATGGCTCAACACCACAGTACCATAACCCACCACTTTGTAACCTATCACGCACTTAGTCTTGTGCCGGAAAAATACAACTACTATAGTACCACACGTGCTAAAAACCGCGATTTACTTCTCGGCCAGACATATTAAAAATGAATGCAATTATTAAATCTCAGCTCATAATTTCCGAGGAACTCGGAATTTCCGTGATGTCGTGGATCACAGTCCGGGTGTCTTTTTGATTTTCTCGGTATATTAAAAGAATTGATTATAGATTAGAAGTCTATTAAGACTTGCTAATTAATAGGTGATGACATAAAAGTCATTGGAAAATTTACAGTTCCTTTTGTATTTTAAAAGTCCTTTCAGAAAGAAATAAATCTCTCTTCTATCTTCCTTCTCTTTTCTTAACTTCCTGAAAGGTACTGGCTGTCCTCCTGACCTCCTTGACCTTCTGACACCCTTGACTATTATGGAACATTACGAATAAAAGATAAGGACAGTTCAGTTGGTCTTCCTGGAATGTATAAGTCATTTGGCCATTTAATTTTCGGTGATTTAATGAAAATGGCAGAATAGCAGTGTAATTTGCTGAAGACGGGTAACTAAAGTATTTGAGAAAGCTGAACAGAATGAAACTTTCCCTTAGCCTAGCTTCTAGTGCCGTATTAACTCTTGAATAGCGGGAAATTTACCTAGTAAGGATATTTGAAATTTTCTGTACATTCTGTTAGCTATTTTATTCTTGGATTATCGTTATCGATTCATGCTCAATACCATGAATATAAACTGATAACGATAACGAGCTTTCGTTTTGATATTCGATGATATGAGCTTTACCAGCCTGTACAACAAAGCCAGCATAAAATTACCAGAAGATTTCGTGATTTGAAATACTTCAGAGAGGACATAGAACTATTAACCAATTTCAGACGATAAATAGGTTTATCTAAAGGAAATTTCGCAACTGAATAGTATCGAAAGAATTGTTATAGTTGAGAGAGTTGCATTAAATTATCACAGCTATAATAGGAATAAGAATTCAAATTTGTTAAAATGATTCGAATGACACTTATTGAAAAATTTTCTGAAATCGGAACTTCAGAGACATTTTAAAGCTTTTTATTTGTTTCTATTACGGTTCATTTTTTTCTCGCTAATTATTGTTGAAAAGAGAAATTAGTACTATTTCAGTATCATTCAATACATTTTACCACTGTTTCATTTTCATCTAGTTAAAATAATATTTATTCGTAATGCCAATTCGTAATGCAATTATTGCAGGCGTATTGTTAAGCTTGGCTTGAACGTTGAATAAGCGTAGCTCGTTCCTCACCATCACGACTGTAGAGAATGGTACGAACGTTTGAACCGTATCCAAATGAATCTTCTCCATCGAAGATGAGCTGTTCGGGCGGTGATGAAATACCGTGTCCACGGGCTACAATCTGTAATGAAATTAAAAAACGGAAAAACATTCCTTGATGAAAAAATTTTAGTTTTTTCTTTTTTTAATATTTAATTAACTGAAATTTTTGTTTTCTTTTTTATTAAATGTGTGTAAATTAAGAGATCTGGCGAAAACGAAAATATCTTTTTTAGCCAATTAGGAATTTGCATTATAAATCGAAAGAAATTTAATAATTTTGAAGCACTGATGAACCTTAACAGTTTTTCCAGGTTTAAGAATGAAATTACGAGGAAATGTATATAAGATTTCCTTCTTTCCATCAATTTTCTGCTTTAACATCCATTCACCAATTGATTCTTCCTTAGCGCGATGCGTATTTTGAATTATAATAAAGGTGCCATCAGCGGATGTTTCCTAGAAATATCTAAAATTAGTGACATTTTCTTTTTTTCCTTTTTTATGTAGAAATTATTACTCTTTGGTTGGTTTTTGAAATACAAGAAAAAGAGGCAAAAAAACCTGAATGGAAACATTTCCTTTGGCAGATCGTTGAAATGATGTGCGAGATGCGGCTTCACCTTTCATAATTTTCATCGTATCTGAAAGTTGTTTCCTATTTCCGAGCCCGTGAAAACAATATCATTAAACTTACTGAAAATTTAAACATAAAGAAATCAGTTGATTCTTTAGGAATCAAAAGGAGATATAACTGATAGGAAAATGATCACACTATCAAGGCAATAGCAAGAATGGTTATTTCGTTTATCAATCATATCAAAAATTCAGTATACTTGATAATTCAGGAATATCTTTCAATATTTTTTGATGACTTTTGCTATTGTTGATAGCCTGAAGAATGTAAAAATGTTAATATTCACTAACCAGTATCTTCTTGATGAGTTAATTCACGAGTACGTACAACCTGTTCTACCAATTGGCGCAATCCTGCACGATTCTCCTCACCTTCCAGCATTTTCCGGTAAATTGCTATCTCGGCATCTAATGTCTGTAAGAAAATATTAAAAATCGATTAAATAGGTTTTTGTAATTTTGATTTTATTAATATAAATATTATTTGTTGTTTAATGATCAATTTTCTGCTTTGAAGAAAATTCTATTTTACAAAACAAATTATTGTATATTAAAAGAAATTAATAAAATATCAATCGATGAAGTTAGCTTTCAGGATCTATGAGATAATTTTTCACGGATTGACCTGCTTAGTATCAAGGAGCATTTGAAGTTCAACCATCAAAGCCTGGCATTCTTCGCGCATCTTTCGAATTTGCGCATCACGATCATTGAGCGCTGCTTCATATGAACGTTGATCATCTTCTAGCTGGTAGTTTAGCTCTTGAATCTGTTTTTCAAGCAAGGAATTCTGGAATTAATTTAGCTAATCATCTTGAGTAATATTATACTGTCACTATATATATATATATATTTGTGAATCGTTAATACATTCAAGATAATATTAACACCTATGGAAATAATCATTATGTTAGTTTCGGTATGATGAATAACATAATCTTAAATTATGCTTACTACACAATTTATATTAATTTTTAAAAAGGATACTCACTCTTCCTTCTAAATCAGTCAATTTACCACGAAGATCAGCGAGTTGTGTACGCAATCTTTTTAATTCTTCCTTAGCATAACCATGTTCAATGTTTTGTCTTGCCGATTGAGTTTGAATTTCTTGAACTTTCAAACGATACCACGATTCCATATCCGTACGATTGACATTTGTTATCTGTTGATCGTTTGAATAAAACATAATTGAAATAGAATAAAGAATGGTGGAGTACGTAATGATGTAAAATGATAATAATGCAAGATATGACATATAACTGAATCATCAAATTAGAATGAAAGATTGTAATGAAAAAGAAACCTGATCGTATTCGGCTCGAATATCACGAATTGCGGATGCTAATTCATTCTTAAAGAATTCTCGATTCTCGGGTGTAGTATCACGAGCAGCAAGACATTGAAGCTCACGTATCTCTTGCTCATGAACACGTCTGATGAAATCAACTTCTTCCAATAGTGTTTGTACTTGATTTTGATGATCGATACGATTCAGCGTTTCTTGGTCCACGTCCTTCAAGATTCTATTTTGACTAATTTGAAGATTATTTTGTTTGTTTGTCACTATCAGGCCTAGCATTAATCGTATCATCTCGAGCGCACCTCTTACAATCTCAGAATCGAAATTCTCGATTGCCAGTTAAAAATTGCTAAAATCAAAGACAAAATTGAACCCTAATCTGCTGCATAATAGTAATTATTTTGGTTAATGTTGTTATATCTATCATTTTTTGTTTAAATAAACATTAAATAATTATTGATTAATTGTAGAAGAATTAATTTTGTTCCAAATTATGTTGTGCAATACTATGAAAAAAGACCGACTGAATAGTACCTTCAATCAATTCTAAAGGAAATTCTGAATAACAAACAGTTCGTGTTCGTTGCAATTCTCCCAATGATTGTTGATTCTCTTTTTTGATACGCATCACTTCCTCTTCCAATTCCGTAATGCGACGTCGTAAGGCATTAATTTCACTTTCAATTTGTGAAAGCAATAAAAACATGTCATCAATTTTTTTATGATCTGTATCATATGATCGTAGTGCTTCTTCATATCTATAATATTTCGATAAATTTGCAACATTTAATTGGAAGAATGTTCTATCGAATAAATGAACTGAATGAGAATAAATCGCTATCAATTAAATTCCTATGAAAAATATTCGATATTATTAGTGAATTATGAATTGTTGAAAGATTGAAACTTTTGTTCTTTTGTTTAGAAAATGAGAAAAATAAAAAAATTTCGTTGGAATGAAAAAATTGCTTTTAATTATTTATGGCAATGCACTTTTTTCGATGGTCGGTTAATTCATCCTGCATTTTATGGATTTGTTTTTCCAATTCATCACGTTGTTTTACCGTTTCATTAATCAATTTACGCGCATCCTGAAATTTATACAATTTTGTTTTTAATAGTTTAACTTCAAAAGCTTTAATAAAAAAAAGTAGTAATTCTTACGTTACCTGTTGCTAATCCTTATCTAATATCAAATTTTAGAGCTGAATTAATGATGGAAAAAATGTAAAAGAATTTATGAAAATACGTTTACCGAAATTTCTCCTTCATACATTTGCTTGATGTTGAATGTATCTTTACCCCATTTTCCACGAAGAAGATCCAAATCCGCCGCTAATTTCCGATTTTGTGCTTCCAAAAAGCGAACCTTTAATTAACGTTTTTCATTTAGGATTTCACATCTTGCTTATAGTATATTTGATGAGTCACACTTAGAAGAATTATATTTTCGCTTTATGCTTTTTCATATTTTTTTTTCTAAAGCGTTGGAATTTTAAATTAACAAGGTAGATAAACCAATTTATGACGACAACTGTGAAACATTTTAACCGATTTCTATGCAATCTGAGCTGAGTAGTGTAAGACAAATGTAACAATTAAAATTTAGATTAAAACAGCTAAAACTGTTGACCTTTGTAAAAATTATGCCAAGAGATCGATCGAATTGATGAAGAATCAATCATCTATATTATTAATTTACCTACCAAATAAATGAATTATCAGATTCTGATAAATTCAATCAAATTATTTAAAACTTTGAACTTCTATAAGTTATTTAACTTACTTTTTCAATATAGGTAGCTAAACGGTCATTCAAGTCACTCATCTCTTTCTTCTCACGTTCACGACTATCACGTATGGTTGACGCAGCATTCTGACCAAACGGCGATACACTTAACATTCCGGAACCGCTTGTCAACGATGTCGTTGATCCAAATTCCGTAACAAATTTCACAGTACGACCATTTGTAACTGAAAAATAGTGACAAACTATTGGAAATATTTACTCATTCAACACTTTATTATTTCCTTCAGACACATCCTATTTTAAAACTCTGATTTTTATTAATTAAAAAAAGCCCGGTCTATATTACACTGAAAAACAACCATCTAGTGCCACAGATTTAGCTAATCCTATGTTATATAGTATTGATTGATTTAAATATTTGCTAAAAAATTATTGGCTAGTAATTGCTGAAACAATTTATCAAAGTTATCATTAGGTGATGATCGAGTAATTATTTTTTTCTCTTTCAGATATAAAAAATTATTATGCAATATTTTTGTTCAGAATTCCAAATTCAAGGAAAAAAAATATATCGTTTAAAATTACCAGCCGATTCACGTAAACGTCTGCCAAGAGGTTGACGTGACGTTGGAGCGAAAGCAAATGACATAATTTCTTAATTTAGCAAATGCACGAGAAACGAGTAAAACGTGAAGTATGGAATTTTCAAAGTCTGAAAGGCCATCAATGTTAACCTAGTTATTTGTTGTTCACGTACAAGAACAGTTGAATTGAATTTTAAAAAACTGAACAGTATAAAAAATAACTTGTAAGTAAACTTCTACCACATCATCCTAACAATTTATTCGTTTAGATTATTTATCAATGATTAATTTGCTTTTTGATCAAAATTATTGTTTATTACAGGTAAGAAAATAATAAATAAGCATTTCTTTTTTTTCAAATGAAATTAGAAATATGTGAAGGACTAAAAAACTACTAAATTTGACATTATGAAATAAACAGATTACTTAACTAATTATGAATACGATGAAATGATTAGTGAGAAAGAGTGAGTTAAAATGGATTCATTTAAAATTGTTCATTCTATTCCTTCTTCATCGATATTACTAAATTATTAAAAAATATTCGGTTACATACAGAATTACTCAATAACATATACGATCCTATACTCATTGCAACATGTAGCAACGTTTACGACGATCCTATACTCATTGCAACATATAGCAACATTCACGACGCAACATATATTTGGGTAATGATAATAGTAATTATGAAGGCATATTCTAATATTTTTAGAAAAGATTTTTGCTCTATAATTTTAGAAATAAAATTTAAAAAAAAATTCACTTTTTGAAATAATTTCAAATTTTCATATGATTAATTTCATAAATGAATTTTCAATAATAAAATTACCTGTAAGAAATGAAGAAGAAAAAGAGAAGAAATGAGAAAATATATGCACTTTACTGAAAATTATCTTTCTTAAAAAGACTTACCTTTAATTATCATTTGCATTGAAAAATCATTCAAAAAATTAAATAAAAATTTGAAATTATTTGAAATTGTTAATAAAATTTTTTGCTCAATTAAATGATTTTCGTTTTGGAGAATTTCAAATAAAATGAAATTTTAATATTTATTGAATTATCAAAATTGCTTCCAATTTCATTCTTCTAATAACACTAATTATCTTTTAAACGAACAAAAAAGTTTTATTAATAAATTATTTTAAAAAAAAGAGAGGAAATGGATGGTCCTTAATTCATCCCTAAAAAAATAATTCTTCCAATTAAATAATTTTAATAAAAATAAAAAAGCAATTCCAAAAAAAAGATTTCAGATAAAAATAATAAATTTATTTAAAAGAAATTGCTTATATTATATAAAATGATGATAATGAAGATATTATTGCTCTTTTGTTTTCTTAATATTAGAATCCTAACTTAATTCTTTATTCCATTATCTCGGGAAAACAATTATCAATTATAGCAACACTAATAATTATTATATAGTAACTATTATTATTGTATAATGCTAGTAGTAGTAATAATGATGATGATGATAAATAGGCTGAGATGTAAAAACCATTTTGGGATGAGTATGATAAATGGTATTGATGGAATACCTACAATTATATTTCTCTCTTCCTCTTCTTTCCGCCTTCCCTGCAATTTCCCACAAAGCTATCTACCTGTAACAGGTAATTCGTTTGTTTGTGTGACAATTGACAGTCTTCTCTCCTCCTAGCAATAGCCATCCTTTATAATCGTTCATTTTATACCTTAATAAAACTGTGACCAAACAAATTTTCATATTCCACACTTTTTTAAATCAACAACCGTTTAGACAGACGGACAGACAGATATACGGACATATATGTGTGTACATAATACTTCATACCATCATTATCTCTTCCATTCATTCTTAAGTTTAAAAAGCGAGGAGTATTTAAAATTGATATTTAATGATTGTAAAATTATTTGTCAAATTCTCTTTCCCTCTCATATTATTTACTATATTCTATGAAATAGAAAGGTTATAAAAAAAGATCTGTATGATAATAAAATGCAAAAAAAGGGAAAATAATTGAAAACAAAATGTTGAAATGTTAAAGAGGAAAAAAGTTATGGAAATAAAAAGCATGCAAACATGCAAGCATGCATGTAAAGCAAGAATCGTACCGATCAGTAGCAAATATTAGCACAAAATAGACAGATAGATATATATGCATTTGTTGACTAAAGAAATTTCCTACTGAATGGTTTTGATGACTAATCAAAATAAACATTGATTATATTTGCGAACAATTCCATTTCTTGAAAAAAAATTTTTTCTCATTAAATTTTGCTCTTACGGGAAATATCAGGAGATCAATCGGTTATGCATGTTATTAGTGAAGGAATTCGATTCTATGAACCGATGAATGAATTAAAAATAATATCCGATCAACTGATTGTACGCATGTTATTATTAATGTTAGTAATTAAAAAACTGAATAAATGAATGAATGGATGAATGAATGAATGAGTGAATGAGTGAATGAATTGAGCAATGATGTGAGATTGAGTTAATATGATAGCTCAATTGATCATTATATTAACTCCATCGCACAATGAAGGAAATTGGTATGTAATTTTTACGATAAGCTTTGGTTGAGAGAGATGTAATTGATCAAACAATATAATAACAGTTTTTCCGATATCGTACATTGCTATGAAATACCGGAAATGATTCTGGTTGTATACTTTGCAAAGCTTAAATCTACATGCACTATACTGATATGCTTATTTTCACAATGTAATTTATTAAAAGTTCATATAATTTAAGGTTAATTCATCTTTTTTTAAATCACTATTAGATAACGGTAACATGAAATAATGCTCCATTTGCTTAATTATAATACCGACAAATGATGAGATTTAATTGCTAAAATATGGGACATCTAACACTACCGGATGATGAGATTTAAAATTGTTCCCAAAAATGGGACATTTCATTAGAGTAGTTGCTAATCCAACTGGTAACTATGGCTCTTCTCTTCTTTCACTTTGGAAATTCATTTGTAATAAATGCAAAGTTTAAATTATGAATTATAATTTATATTCTAAAAGTTTTTACTTATAGGATCAATATTTCCATTACAATAACACCATGTCATTCATATAATATAGAATAGTATCATAATAAACAAAAATTCGTCTATTCATTTTCGTAATAAATAAAAATTTTAATTTTTCATGTTACATTTTTTTGGATGATTTCCATTCACGTTTCACTCACGTTTCATCCACGTTTTATCCACGTTTCACAGCAGCAAAGATCCTAAACCGTCAGTTGTATTATATACTATAAAATGGAATTTAGAAATGACTTTATGCTAATCGCATGCAAATATTATGCACTGAATATGTTATCAAACATTTGTAATAGTTTAATAATTGCAGTATTTTAATTTTTCGAGTTGGAAATTTAAATCTATTTAATTTCCTCTCTAAAAAAAACAAAAATAAAAATAAAAATTGCATTCGAATAATTTGCCATTAACTAAACCTGAAACAATTTCTTTCATTACTATCCTTGTATCAGAATAGTTGAGTGGATCATTTCCATTTTCAGGTTTACGATATGATTCAATAGTGAAATGATTTTTTTTCCGACCAATCATTTATTATAAAATATTTATTTGTCATGTCGATTGACAGGAATGGTTGACATCCAATTGCCTGCACATGGAACTATAATTACTGATAGATTTTAGGGAAGGAAAAATTGAAATATAATTATATTAAAATATCCTTCAAAATGCAGTCATTGCTTTTTTTATCATTTTTTTCCAGAAATGGAAAGATAATTATATCGCTCTTTTTATTGTATAGTTATTGTGCAGTTTATTGATTATATTTTATAAAATACTTTAAAATAATTCTATTTTTCGTTTTCGTCTTTCTGTTTAGTAAACTATTATATGCGTAATCATTTCATGATTGAATATATTTCAGGAATATTTTAAGAAATCATTCATGATGAAATCTATTTCAGGAATGAAAATATCATATATTTATCAAAATGTAAGTAAGTCAGAAAAACCTTTTTGGAAGTTTGGTTTTGTCAATTTTAATAAATAATGCAATATTTTATTTAATATTATAATTTATAATTGAAAAAATTCCTTATCATTAGTTATTGTTTAGTCAATAAATTTAATCATTTAATCATTACATAATTTAGCTTATCTGTTGATTTATTATTATTGTGATTTGTTTATGCAAATTAAGTGAAGAAATTTCTTCTTTTTTTATTCTGTTCACTACCGATATAAATTTGATATATTTTGTAATGATAAAATATATCGATTTTCGATTTATAACATTCGAGCTATGAATGTTATCAGATTTATCCCAAATTTATCATAGTCTTAAATAACGGAAGAAAAGATAAATGAAAATTCATTAATTATAGGAAACAATGAAAAAGATAATTCTGTGTTTTTTTTCAAATCAAAAAATTTCAATGACTTATATTTGTATTATTAATAAGAATAAATAGTTTCCGAATCCTTTTGTCTATTCTTCTGAAATTTAAATTTGGTTTTACTTCAACTAAATCGCCTCCTCTCATTCTTTAGCGTTATAAGTATGATAAATACAGGTAGACGATGCAAATAATTTTTAATCAATTTGCAATTAATGAATTAATTGGCGGTTATCATTTTGTGAAATAATCATTTTATCAGAATACAGCATAACTGTGATATTTCTCGCAATTTTCACATTTTCTAAGATGTAGTAGCTGCTACTTTGACAATTTTCCTTATGCGCCGATTTGGACATGAGCAATATCCGGCATCTTCACCTGGTGAACCCTCGAGACCAGGATTACCGACACTACCAATATATCCACGTTGACCTGAATAATACTAACACTTACATTTCTTACTAAAGCAAAGATATTAAAGAATATTTTTGAGCGTACTGTAGAGCATAAGAATCATGCACAAGGTTATTGCTCTCTCATGCAAAAAACAAACGAAATCTGACCTGGTTGCCCAGAATCTCCTTGTGGTCCTGGTGGACCTTGTGCCCCTTGACTTCCCATATTCCCTGGAGGGCCTATGAAACCTTTAGGTCCGATCTGACCACGTGAACCAGGTTCTCCTGTTGCACCTGGAAGTCCACGTACTCCTTCTCGTCCTGGAGGTCCAGGTGGTCCTTCTTTGCCAGGTGGCCCTAGTTCTCCATTTTCGCCTGGTGGTCCAATTTGGCCAGGTTGACCCGGATGCCCTGGAAGACCGTCACTTCCAGGTATACCCTGCAAATGGTTTACAAAACCATTTATTTTTTTCAAACTGCAATTTTCAATTTATCTGGAACATAAATGAGTAAAATGAATTAAATAAATGGCCGAACAATCAGAAACAAATAATGTTACAAAGAAAAAAATGATGAAAAGCAAAAAAGTACCGGTGTTCCTGGCGATCCTGGTGGTCCCGGATATCCTATATGACCAATTGGTCCTGATGGGCATACCCTGCATGAAGCATAATCTTTCGGTGGCTGAATTGGTACAGAAATTCCTGGAACACCAGATTCACCTGGTGGACCTGGTTGACCAGGCATGCCATCCATTCCATCCATACCTGGTCTACCAGGCGGACCTGGTGGACAGCGATTCGATGTGTCGCAATCTATAACAATGTGCTCAATTAATTGCTCATTAAAAGTAAGTCAAAGCAAAAAAATTCAAAAGAAAAAATAATGGTTCACCTGAAATTACTCCTTACAGCGGTAAACTTACTGCATTTTGGATCCGGTATTTGACGAGCCAAACGTCTTTGTGTCGTTGGTGGCATAATTCGGGCTTCTTTCAGTTCCACCCAAATTTGATCCTACAGAAGTTTTGTTTGAACATATCAATTGCATATTGGTTGATTAGTAATTTTCAAATATAGTTTTATAAATTTTTATTAACTACTACTAAAGATATAATCTTTTGGAATTTCCATTCAAAATTTTTGATACGCTCATATCTCCCGGAACATTGATTTAGGTATTTTTCGAAGAAATGAATAAAAGAAGCAAGGTAATAAAATAAATTATAATCAATGCTTTTTTCTACGACATGCCAAAATGTTCCAAATTTATTACGATTCAGCAGTTACTTGATCTGATTCTTTGTGCAAGTTATTCTCTCTTATTATTATTTTCACTTGACATTTCAGGATTTAGCCATCCTTTCAGATTCAAATGCTGTAGAAACTTTATAGCATAGATTTATAGCTAAATACTTATCAGTTAGTGAGCTATTGTCTAGGACTTTATCAGATTCCTAAACTTTTTGATTTCCTGTTTTATTATCCATCCGGTCATTTCAGATGTTAGACTAACTTCATCTCGATTATTTCCAGATGTTGACTTAACTCTATCCCGATCATTTTCAGATGTTAGCGTGATTTCTTGCTGGCTTAACTCTGTCCCAATTATTTTCAGATGTTATGTTAATTTCTTCTTTGGTAAATAATGGATGTTCCTATAACTTTCATCGCAAAATTTTACCTATATTACCATTATTGTGTCTGACAAAGAAATAAAATTTTAAATTAGGAATTGATCAAATTTGTGATTTGGAAATCAATAAAAATTTTATTTTTGAAAGTATGTTGATAAAAGGCATTTTGAAATAGTTTGTGATGTAATTGCTGGTAATAATTATTAATAATCTGCTCAACTTTTTTTAAAACCTTTTTATTCTAATTTTTATTTTTGAAAATTCACTAATGAACATTATCATAAGTATGATGAAAATTTGGACAGCTTGCTGGAACGAATTTATATTGCAAATATGTTAATAGGTCAGTGGGTGAAAATTTTTAATTCGAATGAACTGAAATAAAAAGAATTCGTAAAAAATTATTATAAAATAATTTAATTTCAAATTTCAACCAAAAACATAACAGAATGAAATAAACTCACTTGCATAATCATGAATTCATCCATATTCGCGGCAAGCTTATATTTTATCATTGTAACAGAATCAAAAAAATGATGTACTTGCGTAAATATAAAGGTTACCGTAATAATTGAAGTAGCAATTACCGAAAAGACGGCTGTTTTTACTTTAGTCATAGTTGTAATTTAATACTCAAAATGGAATATTGTCCAAAATACTGAAAATGAAAATTTTACGGTAAAGTGAAATTGATCAAGTTATTTTTTATAAGCTTATACTACATAACAGATTTGAATAACGGATTTATCAACGATTCAAGAAAAAGAAAACACTACGTAAATCATCAAATTAAAAAGTTATAATCGAAATGCAATCATCTGATGTATAATATTTTCTCTATCAAGCTTTATCGCAACGGATTTTTCTAAAAATTAAGCAATACTGAAATTTACGGATTTTTTAAATAGAACAACAGAATAAGTCAAATAATATTATTATTTAGTAAATTAAGTTGTATTATTCCTAATTACAATTTTCATGAAACTTAAAGCGAGAAAAACAAGACAAAAGTGTGAAAAAGATATTACTTTGCCGAACTAATTACAAAAAATATATTGCTAATTGGGTCCAATAAACTAAATGTAATAATTGCAACTTCGCTCTGCACTCATGAAATAATGCTGCTGAAAGCAAAGATATGAAAAATTTTAATGATGATAATGATAATAGAATTTCTAATATAATATGACAGCTTTTATATGAATGAACAACGATAATGGTAGTGGTTGTTATCGCCGATGTTTACACATGTATTGGTAATAACGCAAATTGTGAGAGTGATTGCAGTAGTATTAACGACAGATAGATTTGTTGGACGAACGGATGTTTCGGTTCCACTCCAGCAACCGATATATAGAAGAAAGAAAAAATTGGATGCATAACGATGTTGAAGAATTTCAAACGATTTTTTTCATCCTTTTATTTTCAAGATCGTATAAGGCTGGCAAATGATTAAGAGATAAAAAACAAACAAGAAATTTCTTCTTCAACTTCTTCTTTCTTCATTTTCCCTTATCTTTTTTGTTTAATCTTTTCAATAGAAATTAAATTTTCAATTTTAATTTTTCATTTCAAAATTTAATCACAATTTATTCATTCTTTGTAAAGGAAAAAAATCATTTATTCCTAATAACAAAATCATTTGCTCAATTTCTTCCATTTCCTTTTTCATCCTAAAATTAACTTTTTTAATGAAATGAATTTTTCTACGCTTTTTCTAATTTTTGAAAAATTTTTACAAATTCAAATTTTTATAATTTTTTACAAATTCCTTTTTTCCTTTATTTTTTTCTAATGAAGTTTCAATTTGTATTACTTTCAATATTAATTACTTCCTTCCTAAATATGCTATTATCATTTACTTAATCCACATTAGCGTATTGGTGACAACAATATCTGTTCAATGTTGAATGAAACAAAAAATAATGTATCGATCATAAGAAATAATTTCGATCGTTTTACAACATTTTTACACATTTGTTTGTAGTTTTTTGCTTTCTTTTATTAGAATATTTTAAATTAACTATAAACCTAAAATGAATAGAAAAATTAAATTACGAGTAAAATTCACTTAAATATATAGTTTTCCAGTTTAAGCTATTGAATTAGATAAGTTGAATGTAATCTTCATTTAAGTTTTTATGATATTTCATAAATCAATTCAACAGAGATTTAAATAAAATTTTAACACCTGTAGAATAAAAAGAATTTAGCTTTAAATTATATTTTGAAAGGGAATAGCAAAATATTATGAATGAATGTTAATTCAAAAATATAAAATTATTAGAACTTGCTCAAATTTTTTTTGATAAGCTGACTAAATTGACAATTTGATCACATTCTGACAGTTGTACAGTTAAAAACAAAATTTCAATCATTAATCAAAATACTTTTAGATGCATGAATAATATGTGAATACAAAGAATCAATGCAGTAAAATAATGAATTCATTGAAAAATGAATAATTAAGTAAAAAATTTATTCCTCTCAACTAATTTGCATATTTCAGGAAATCATTCATTATCGGCCAAAACTCAGATAATGGATGCTAATGATTAGGCATTTTCATTTTTGGCAAATGTTCCTCAAGCAATAAATTTGCATTCTGATGAAAATTTCCAAGCGCTTCAAAATACTGCAAAAACACCAAAAATAATAACATTACTTAGAAATAAATTAACGGACAAGCGTGAAAATTTTAATTTTAAATCTCTACTATTAAAATGAACAATTAAAGAGTGGACAATGGTCAAATTGAAGTGATTAACGCCTTATCACTAATTTTATCAAAAGTTTTTTGGGGAAAAAATGGAAAATAAACAACTGATAACTGGTAAATAACTTTATAGATGTTAATTCTAATTTAGATAGAAAAAATTCCGATATTTTATTATTGGACAAGGAAGAAAAGTTGTTGATCATTAACATACATCAAATAATTCCTTCTGATGTTCCTTCTTATCATTTGGCAGATGTTCGGGAAATGCTGCAACTTTAGCAGCTTGCTGATCAAATTCACTTACCATACGTGCATAGAATTTCCCTTTCTCCTCAACCATTTCTGTGGTTCGTGTTTGTTTAAGCTTAAATAAATTTTTCAAAAAGAAGTAAAAAGCAAAAAAAGCTTTAAGAAAGTTTGTAAATAAGTAAATGAAGAAGCGAAGACTTTAAGACCTAAAATAAAATATCAAAAAAGACAATAAAATTTAATCTGAAATTACATTCCAATAATTATTAATATATTGAAAGATATACAAATATATCGATTAGCGAAAAATATTTTGTAAAAATTGGATAGCAAAGAGAAACTTCATGTCTTGCTGCATCCATCATATCGCGTGTTTGCATTAATTTCTTTTGCGCTTCAATCATTGCTAATTGTTCTTGTGTCACGAATCGTCGCATTTTGCGAATTGTTCGACGACCTAAAAAATTCTTTCGAAATTCTTTTTAATTACAAAATTTCAAATAATTTATACAATATATGGAAGTTTTTCAAGCATTTCAAAATATTGCAAAAGTAACAAAAAGAATAAATTGCATTATTTCACTATTATAAAATTAATTCTAATTCTATCTATTAATTTTAGCTAAAAATAATAGCATGCAAATAGCATATAATAACTTTGATAAGTTTGATAATAAATAAATAAATAAGCGATTGCTAACAAACGTTTGTTGAATGAATAATTTAAACAAAAAATAAGCATAAAGTTTGAAAGTTTAAATAAATTGAATTATTTAGAAAGAATAAAAAAAGAAGGAAAAATGTTGAAAAAATGTTATCAAAAAACCTTTAGCTTGCATTGCTCGATTCATTATTGCTAATCGTTTAACAACCGCTTCAGCTTCAATTAATGGAGCCTATAAATTAATTTCAGTTGATAAATTTTAATGTAAATTTTTCCAGCATTATAATATCAATAGATGAATTAATATCTATTATCAACAAAAGATGTCATATGTTGGACGGATGGAAAACAATCATTGCACCTGAAATATCAATGAAATCGTACATATCCGCAATAGAAATGTGAATTAACATTGGTAACATTGATAAGAGATAAATACGGAAATATAAGTGATTTACAACGACTGTTTCTCTGATAATCATAAATATATATATATTTTGTGCAAACATCAACTGTATCATTTGATAAAAATTTGTAATGGTAATCATTTCAACATTTATAAAATGCATAAAAAACTGTTCGAAAAAGAATTTCAATAAATCAAAGTTAAAATTTTCGATCATTTTCCGATGACCTGAGCGTTTTCCGTGTGAAATGATCGGAAATCATTAATATTTTGAGCTAATATCTCATACGGATCCGCTTTCTCACCACACTCAATGTTTCCAAGTCGTAAAATTGTTTCATTATTTTGCAACACAGCTTCTAATCGATCAACCAATTTGTCCACATCTCCCTGATATCTATAAAGTTGTCACTTCGTAGTGAAACCAGATATCAATGGAGTTATCACGTCGTTATGAAGCTTCTTTTGAACGATTGCAGAATTTTTTGAGGTAAAAATTTTAGCAATGATTATGATGATGGCAATTCACTTGAAAATTAACCTTTTACTAATAAAACAATTAGCCTAAGAGAAAGAGAGAGAGAGATTGTGATTCATGATATAATTAAATAATTTACTAATTAATCATTTTTAATTCATAGGAAAAGTATTATTTCCAATTCAAAAGGTATTATTAAAAATTCAGTTTATTGTTTGCTTCGATTCCTAATTTTGTTTTAAAAATTTATTCTTTAGTTTAATTCATTAATAACAAATTCTTAAATAATTAGCATAATAATTAAATAACTTGTAATATTTTTCAATGTCAGCAATAAATTCTGGTGCTAAACGTGTCTGTTCTACGATTCCCATCCGTTCACCGACCTAAAATAAGTTTGTTTATTTATTTAAAAGAAAAAAGAATAGACAGAATTTCAAATCTCCTGCAAATTATTAATATTAGTATAACATAAGATATTCGATTCAAATTATTATAACAGTATAATATAAAACATAGCAATACTAATTATTTTAAATCCTAAATTTTCAGAATATCTTAGATAAAACATTGGTAGCAACTCGAAATATTACATTTAATATATGTATATTTAAATCATTTTTTCTCACTTCAAATAATCTTAATAAAATTAAATGTCTAAATAAAATTTGCTTCATTAATTTAATAATGTTTACATTTTTAAAAAAGAAGTGGTTTAAATATGAAGATAAAATGAACCTTAAGGAAAAGCTTTCCAACCGCTCCACGTTTTTTCCTCTTTTCCGTTTCATTTTTATCAACAGGAAGAGGTGTTCCGGATTCATTCATTCAATACTGTAATTGTTTCAAACCAATCACAATTAGTAGAAGAAATAACAATGGAGTTATTATTAGCTTAGATTTATATTTATAAATGAATTTTGTGAAATTTCATTTTAAAATCAAAATATTGCATTAATTCGTTGCATATTTAATTTAATGCATAAAAATAGATAGCACTCATTTTAATTAGTGACAAATTAAAAATTATTCATTTTTAGATTTTAGCTCTTTGCAATATAAACAGCGTTTTTAAGTTTCACATTATGTTAAGATAATGTGACCAATATATAATCCATATTTTCAAACATATTCTACGTCTTAATTCAAATCATTTTATCAAATCGAAATTATGTTAATCATTCTTAGTGATAATAGGTAGATGATAGTGATGAAAAATGGAAATGATAAAAGATTAACAGTGTTTCGGTCGCTTTTCTGTGATAAATGTCTTAAGGATAAATGCCAAATGCCTTAAGGATAGATGCTAAAGGCCAATGCCTTAAAATGGATCGGAAAAAAAGAGGGAAGAAAAAGGAAAAATGAATAATAATGAAGAAAGCTATGAGAATAAAAGGAATGGATAAATTTTCGGTCAATATTTCGCCCTTTTTCATCAATTCATTTTTAGCCTTTTTCTTTTTCTCTCTTTCTCAGATATATTTATATAAATTACAATTTAATAATATTATTATTAGTAGTAACAATTCAAACACCGAAGGTTACTATTTAAATGTTCGTTTGCACCCAATTTATGCGATCTGTATGGAAATATTAACCTGTACCTATCGGTGTTACTATACCAGCACATATCCTAATTTTAATAACTACCATCTTTATTTCACTATACCAACATTTAAATATCGATATAACAATATATCAATATCCAGTTATTGATATAATTGAAATCTATTTGAGTAACAACAATGCTACTCGTTTAATTTCAGTATTGTCAGTCTTCAACGATTTGATTGGTTTTGTTTTTGGTTTTGAAATTTTTAAATTAGTGAATTTTGACGGATTTATTGCTTTCTTTGTTTTTTTTCTGAAATAGTATAAATATTTTTAGTTAAAATTTAATATCAAAAGAAAGGAATTTTTCATATATTTAATTATCAGTTTACGATACAAATTTAAATTTGCAAAAGTTTTTGCAAATATCAAGCAAATTTAACTTATAAAGTTGATATATCCTATATAGATTGCTGGGGAATTGTATAGCAAGCAAAATTATTAATTAGTGAAATTTAAACAATTCAAACTTATAAATTTATATTCATTATGTTTACAGAAGAAATATTAAATTTTAATTGATAATGTTTACCGCATTATGAAATGTTTCCATTATTTGAAATTGCTAAAATCTTCAGAAGTTCTATTTTCATTTTGTTGCATAGACATATATTATTTACATTTATTTTTTATATTAATCTGCATAATAAATGAAAAGGAAGGATTGAAGAGTGGAAAAACAGCCGATGATGATTGTTCCATTGCGGACATTAAGTCGTTTGGGCTCAGTTGAGTCGATCGGTGGCAATAATTTGTTGCATTCTATTTTATAAATGCAATTTAGCCATTGCTTAGCTTCACCAATTTTTTAAGCAGAAATTTTTTGCTGCTCTTCGAGGACAAAACGGTTAGCTTTCCGCTTCCGTTTTTTCCCAATAAGGTTTGCTAGTCTCATTTCAATCTTTCTATAACAAATTTCTTTCTTTTTATTTTGATGTAATTTTAATTGCTAATTTTGGAATGCTTTTTTTCGATTAAATTTAAAAAAAAAGTTTGTTTATCATTTATTTATTCGATCGATAATTCATTCCATTCCATTACCTTTCTCTTTGCTAATTAAATTTCTTTAGTAATAAATGATACAATAAACAATGAAACTTGCATTATTCATGTAAATTAACACCAATAAATCATTAATTATTGTTGTCAGTACAGCTGGAATTGGCAACATATGCATTAAATCACTGACAACGATTACTTCAACTATGACTTTTACTATCTTAGTTATAATAAATTTTCTTTTGTTGGAAAACACATCAGTTCAATTAAACTGACTAGATTGTACTCGAGATGGTTGATTAAACCGGTACGATATTATTATGCTTGCTAATTACATTGGTGATACCAACATGTTAGTATTGGTTAATATGCTACTGATATAGGGATATTTTAGATGTTGATGTATTTGGCGATATCCAATATCGCTATGTCGATATTCGTATCAATGTATCGATATTTGAATATTATATCAATATGTCGATAATTGATATTTTTTATTGATATATCGTTACTTGTATTAATACATCGATATTTTAATATTGATATATCAATATCTCGATATTGATATATTGTTATATCGATATCTGAATGTTGGTGTAGTGAAATGCAGATGATAGTTGTTGAAATTAGGATATTGCTGATATAGCAACACTGATAGGTGCAGGTTAATATTTTTATATACGTCGCGGATTGAAAAAAGTTTTGTTACATATTGTTTTTGTTCACATAATTATTCATAATCCAAATATTTGGTTTGAACATTTTTGGAATTATCACGCTTACTTAAAATTTTTAATGCAGATTTAACAATAATTAAAATTTAAATTTATTTTTTACAAATAATTAAAATTGCAGCAAAAAATAAGTGCTAGAAGGAAAAAGTGTTGTTGTTAATTGCAATTCTTCATTAATGACTAATTCATTTTAAATTATAATCTAATACAAAGAATTAAAGCATTTCTTTGTTAATTATTGATATATTATCACTAACATTGTTTTTCAATGAAATTTGTCTAAATAATCGTTAAAAAATGTATTCATTAATTAGTGATATGATAAAGGAAGTGACATAATTATCTGAAATAAATGTTGCTTGATATCACTTTGATTCACTATTGTTCTTTGATATCATAGTAGTAGAATTTAATCTTCAACTTCTTTTTCATCCATTGTCTTCAATATTAATTTGTAGAAAAATGCATTCACTGAAATGAATGAATAGATTTGATATAAGAGCCAAATATTTCTTAAAATATTTCCGATATTAACAAGAAGTGAGAGGAAATGATAAGTACCATACCATCATATACCATCACATTATCCTTCACTTATTTATTTTCACATTGTATCTCCTCGTTTATTTCATCTGTTTTTTTCTATTATAGTTACAATTGAAATTTTAGTCTTTTCAATTGCAAAAATATTTGATTTCATTCTTTTGAAATGATACGTTGAATTATCGCAGTTCGTTGATATTATTAGAAGGATCTTTACTTTATAATAACAATAACAATAACAAAGGATAAATATTACAAAAAGAAAAATAACAAAATAAAAATTTTTTAAAATAAAAATAAATTAATCAATCATAAATTATATTTAATGAGAGATATCTTATAATCATTGATTCCTTGAAATATTTGCTTTTTATGCAAATTTTCTCTTTTTGTTCACTGATATCTAATATCAATAAGTGATAATAATAATAATAGGTTCACTGATATCAATAAGTGATAATAGTAAGAATAACTTTTCATATTTATTATATTTATATCAAACCTTTTTTCTTTTTTATTTTAATTAATCTTAGCAAACAGAATGAAAACTTCAGTATTTAAATTAAAATCCTTCTCATATAAATTCATGTATGGATAGATATACATATATCCATTAACAGCTTAAGAGAATAAGCTTCTAAAATAACAACAAAAAAATTTCATGGATACCACTTCTTGAATTTAACGATTCACTCTCAAAAATTTTTTTCGGCATATTTTTTGAAGAAACGGATTTGTTTTTTTGATGATAACAATTTAGATGAAATATGCCTCTTTTATTCCTTCTCTCTCTCTCTCCCTCTCTCTCTCTCTCTCGTATATTCGCTATTTATTTTTACTTTTTCCCTTTTTTTCTAAATTAAAAACAATAATTTTCATAGTCTTATATTGATGAGATAATAAGATGGATCCGATTGATACTGGTAATTACAAAGAGGAAAATTAACAAAGTTTATTGCAAGCTAACAGGTTGATAGATATTTCATTGAAACGAATGCCAAAAAGCAATTTAAATTTGTATTTTAGTGATTTTGTAGAAAATGAAAGGAAGGCGGAAATAATATATATTGCTATAAAGTCAATATATTTTTGAATTATAACGATTTGAAAACAAAAAAGAAATTATATGAAGAAGGAAAAAGAATATCGAATTATTCCGACAATTAAAATACATTGAAATATTATTATTTGAAATTCATGATCGTTTTACATACAATAAAATAAGAATTATTGATATAATATATGTGAATAGCATTTGTCATTAAGCAATCAGTCCAAAAATAAAAATACAAATTTAATTTTATTTATATTAATTTCCATTATTATCTGAGCATAAATTTTAATTTCAATTTTAATTTCCTATAATTTGTTGAATATATTTGTAGTAATGTTTTTTTTGAAGGACATTTCTACCTTTATTTAAGCCATTCTTCTCTATCACCTTTCTTCTTTTCAAAAAAAATTTTGAGATAATTTTCTCAAATTAT